GGGAATAATCCAGCCTCGGTTATTCCCGGGAATAATCCACACCCCGTTATTCCCGGGAATAATCCACAAACCCGGTTATTCCCGGGAATAATCCACACCCCGTTATTCCTGGGAATAATCTACACACCGTTATTCCCGGGAATAATCCACACCCCGTTATTCCCGGGAATAATCCACACAGCGTTATTCCCGGGAAAATCCTGACCCCGTTATTCCCGGGAAAATCCTGACCCGGTTATTCCCAGGAATAATCCACACACCCCGTTATTCCCAGGAATAATCCACACAGCGTTATTCCCGGGAATAATCCACACCCCGTTATTCCCGGGAAAAATCCAGCCTCGGTTATTCCCGGGAATAATCCACACAGCGTTATTCCTGGGAAAATCCAGCCCTGGTTATTCCTGGGAAAATCCTGACCCCATTATTCCCGGGAAAATCCACACACCGTTATTCCCAGGAAAATCCAGCCTCGGTTATTCCCGGGAAAATCCAGTCCTGGTTATTCCTGGGAATAATCCACACCCCGTTATTCCCGGGAAAAATCCAGCCTCGGTTATTCCCGGGAAAAATCCAGACAGCGTTATTCCCGGGAAAAATCCACACAGTGTTATTCCCGGGAAAAATCCAGCCTCGGTTATTCCCGGGAAAATCCTGACCCCATTATTCCCGGGAAAATCCACACACTGTTATTCCCAGGAAAATCCACACAGCGTTATTCCCGGGAAAAATCCACACACCGTTATTCCCGGGAAAAATCCTGACTCGGTTATTCCCAGGAAAAATCCAGACAGCGTTATTCCCGGGAAAAATCCAGACACCCGGTTATTCCCGGGAAATATCCTGACCCCGTTATTCCCAGGAAAAATCCATCCCATTATTCCCGGGAAAATCCAGCCCCGGTTATTCCCAGGAAAAATCCTGACCCCCGTTATTCCAGGAAAAATCCAGCCCTTGTTATTCTGGGAAAACCCAGCCCCGTTTATTCCTGGGAAAATCCTGACCCCGTTATTCCCAGGAAAATTCCAGTCCCAGTTATTCCAAGGAAAAATCCAGACACCGTTATTCCCGGAAAAATCCTGACCTCGTTATTCCAGGAAAAATTTAGTCCCGGTTATTCCCAGGAAAAATCCATCCTGTTATTCCAGGAAAAATTTAGTCTCGGTTATTCTGGGAAAATCCATCTCCGGTTATTCCCGGAAAAATCCGGCCCCAGTTATTCCCGGGAAAATCCAGCCCTGATTATTCCTGGGAAAAATCCATCTCGTTATTCCTGGGAAAATCCTGACCCCGTTATTCCCGGGAAAATGGGGGGAGGGGGGAGAGACAATCCCGAAAGGATTCCCGGGATTTTTGTGTTGGAAGGGGAATGGGCCGGGATGGGCTGGGATTGGGATCCTGGGATTGGGATTGAAATCCTGGGATTTGGGATGGGTTTGGGATCCTGGGTTTGGGATCCTGGGATTGGGATCCTGGGATTGGGATCTCGGGATTGGGATTGAAATCCTGGGATTTGGGATGGGTTTGGGATGGGTTTGGGATCCTGGGATTGGGATTGAAATCCTGGGATTTGGGATCCTGGGATTGGGATTGAAATCCTGGGATTTGGGATGGGTTTCAGATCCCGGGATTTGGATCCCAGGAATGGGAATTCGGGATTTGGGAATTCCTGCATGGGAATGGCCCAGCCCTGGACCGGGATCAGGGAATTTGGGAATTTGGGAATTCCATGAGAATGGAAATTCGGGATCTGGGAATTCCATGGGGATTTGGGGATCAGGGAATCCCTACATGGGGAATGGCCCAGCCCTGGCCTGGGATTTGGGAATTCCATGGGGATTTGGGAATTTGGGATCAGG